TTGAAAAATATTGAATACATGTGTATTTAATATTAAAAAGAGATTCAACGGTATTTTTTGCTACTAGGGATTTTTAAGGAAATCCCCGTCAGCCATCGATGACTGACGTGACCTAAACGGAAAGTCTAATGTCACTCACCGATGACTGACTTTTTGTTTTTTTTTTATTTTGTTTCACATTATTATTATCATTAAATAATTCTTCTTATTTTTCATCTTCTTCTTTTTATTAAGGATTTTTCGTTCTAGTTATATTAAAGTATTGTTAAGTTTTAAAAAAAAGAAATTTGTAAACAATGACATCAATATTGATGATAATAAAAAGTAATAAAAAAAAAAAAAAGAAGAACTAGGTGGCACTAGGTTTAAAAAAAAAAACAAAAAGAAAAAATAGAAAAGATAGAAAAGAAATAAATCATTTGAAAAAAAAAATACATTATGGGTGATAGAAAGACACATGTGTTAAGTAACTGTCGATTTCCGTTGGGAATTTCCTGGTTATTTTCACTCACCTAAATCCTTTCATTCAGGTATATATATATATATATATATTTCTACTTTTCAAACTACCAGTTTTCTATTACAATATGTGTACAGATGTTATGCTTGTATGTATCAAATGATATAAAAATACAAATGTATATAATAAAACATGTATATAATTCGAATTAATTAATATTATATTAAAAATACATAAAAACTCATTTTATTCGAGTATTAAAATGTAAATGTAAATGTAAATGTAAATGATTGATCCTCTACTTCATGTTTTTTTATTTTTCTTTTTTTACATGAATTGAGTTCAGTGAAGAAAATCGGTGATTGATTTTTATCATGAAAAAAAAAAAAAATAGAAGAAATTATTTTCTATTATTACAGTACACAGATAATATTATGTATTTATCCAATGATAAAAATTGTTTTATAGTTCGCGTTTAAAATCCAAGGAAAATCTGGGATGTGTGATCGATACGTAGCTTTAAATAGACCTTGTTTTGCTAGAAGTTTGAGTTTCTAACTGGAGCCAAGTAGAACGAACCGAATGTTCGAAAATCGAACTACTCGAATTCGAATTTTATATTCAATAATAATAATAATAATAATAATAATATTAATGTATATATTTGAAAGGAAACAAATAATATTGTTATTACGTTATTGTTAATAACAATTATTACATATGATGGATGACATTGTTAATGTAGATTACTTTTTGTTTGTTTGTTTTTTTCTTTTGTGGTTTACAAAACAATAATAAACAAAGAAAACAATATTATGGTGTTAATTACAAAGATAATAATTAATCAAATCCATTTATCAGATCTCAACCGGTTTCAACACTAGATATACCAGACCAGCCATTTTTAATGATTTCTGTAAATAATTAAGCATTTTTGTTATTTAAAAATGTCTATTAAAATTATTATTGTTAAACATTTGTTTTTTTTTCTTATTTTTTAAGAATAATTAAAGACTGAAAGTCTCAAAAAGCATTTTCTTTTTTTTTTTTTCTTATACACCAGTCATTTTGACTAGTGTGGTAGAAAATGGTGGTAATATCTAGTGTTAATAAATTAATATTTCTCATAATATAAAAGCAAATGAAGAAATATCGAAACAAAATATTGCCAAACAAAATGGTGGAGGAGATTGCACATTTAATATTATTTTGTAGGAATCTTTAATAAGATAAATTATAATAAAAAAAAAAAAAAAAAACAAAAAAAAAAACGTTATTACATTTATATGATCCATTTCAAACGTTTCTTCTTTTCTTTCGTTCTTTTTACAAAAATAAACTTAAACTAAATTAAACAAAAACAAAAACAAAAATCATTTCGTAATCTTCGTATTGCTCTCTTACAAAAAAAAACAGAATAATAATAATAATAATAATAATAATAATAATAATAATAATAATCTATTCTTCGTTAAAAAAAGAAAAAGAAAAAGAAAAAGCAAAATGGGTAAAGTAAAAAAGTAATTTGAATTTGTACGTGAATTTTTGTCCAAACTTTGACGCAACCCAATAGCAACACAGGTAACACAGATACAATGAACAAACTGTAAACATAGTTTACAGATAATTCTAAAAGAAAAGAAAAGAAGAAAAAAAAACCTATACAAATAATAACATCCAAAACTAAATCTTTTACTTTTAACGAATCCAATGATTTTGAACAAAAAGAAGAAATAGAAAAAGAACAAGAAAAAAGAGCAAGAGACTTATATAAATCTTCTCTCTCTCACTCTCTCTCTCTCTCTCTTTCTCTCTGTTATCTTCATAATTATTTAGACAAGAAGGATTGTAAGAGCTTTTACTTATCATACGATGATTTCCTCATTTTGATGTTGACGTACAAGGTGGTAGTCGGTGGTTTTTGCTTTCCTATCTATCTCTCTTTCTCTCTCTTTCTTTCTTTCTTTGTCTATCTTTCACTCTTCACTTATACATTTATATTATACTCTCTTTTTAAAAGCGGTCTTTTCAAAACTTCTCTATTAATAATAATAATTTTTTCAACTTTACGTAACTCGCGCTTTACTTTAGTATGGTTACACAAGTAACGAACGAAATAAATTGAAGAATACGCAATATTACTCGGCACGAATTCAGCTCCCTCAAACGTTAAAGCTGAATTCGCATCTTGCAAAACTCTGTTACTCGTCTCTGGCACGTACGAGGCGCCGACGAGAAACATTTCAGAAGAAGAAGAAGAACAAGAAGAGGAAGAAGAAGAAGAAGAAGAAGAAGAAGAAATAGTAATAATAGTTAGTATAAAGATTGATTTGAAATTATAATAATTAATATTGAATAATTACTTAAGATACTAACAAAAACAATCAACTTTAATCAATTTAATTATACTTTCAAAATCAATAATATATTTTTCTCTTCTTCACGATAGGGACAAACACAACATTGTTTCTAATATTTTATAATTAATTTATTACTCATACGTATGTGTATATGTATTAAACGAATAGAAACATAGAGAGAGAGAGAGAGAGAGAGAGAGATAAAAAAGAAGGGATACAGAAAGTAAAAGAGAAAGAAAGAGAGAGAGGGAGAGAAAATCAAATGTATTTTTATATCAAACAGAAACACCCACCCATCGTCTAACTTCTTCTTTCAATATTTTCTGTTATGATTAATCTTAAAAATAAAACGTAGAGAAAAAGAGAGAGATAAAGATTATTCCAATGATTTATCTTTACATATGTATATGTATATATATATATATATTGACTTTACAGATGAATGAGATTATCTTATTTGAAAAAATGAAGAAATAATATTGAATTCCAAGTAAGATGATTATTTATCACCACAATGTAGAAATGAAACGAATTTTTATTCTATTTTTTGTTCTTTTAGATGTATGCCAAGTTACTCTACTAATTTCTTCTTCGTTTTCCACGTGATTATGGTGATAGATCATCTTCTAATGTCTTTCTTTAACTATGTTTAACTTTCTCTCTCTCTCTCTCTCTCTCTCTCTCTCTTTCTATCTATCTCTTTCTCACCCTTACTTATTAATATTTGATTTTGTATATTTTTTGTTTTTGCTTTTTTTTTTTATTTCTTTTATGAAATAAAATATCCCACAGCGTGTCTCTTAGAACACAGCGCACTTACATGCGGTGAATTACAACACGCTCGACCCGGTGCTTTATAATAGCGACCAACCGTCGCTATACCAACTTCCCGACTGCCTTGGCTCGTCTTCGGTAAAAATAGACCATCGAAAAGCGACACCTTAGGAATCGGCCCCCGTTCCTTCCTTCCTTCCTTCGTTCGTACGTTCGTTCGTTCGTTCGTTCGGTGCCGTCACGACAGATCTCTCTTGCTTTAGTTTTCCTTTATATCTCTTTTACTCTTTCTTTCTTTCTTTCTTTCTTCATCTTTCTCTAAGTTTCTCAATGTTTTCTTATTCAACTAACTACAGACATAATCATCTCTCTCTCTTTCTCTTTAAGAAAGTTTATAATCCCTCTGGGGTAGTTGCCCTTGATTCACCTCACGTTAAGTTAAACACACGACTTGAGTAATATACTTTTGTAATTGTTCTATTATAATATTTGTTTGTTAAATAAATAGAATTGAGTTGGGATTATAAATGTCTTTATACGAATGGAAAATAAAAGATTGTTATTTATTTTATTGAAAAATTATTTTGTATATATATATATATACCTTAATTATAGATGTGTGTAATTATTATTATCATTATTATATTAAATGTCCTTTTTTTACTTTTTTTTTTTACATTCACATTAATTATCCCTAATAGCACAAAATATTGAAAAATATTCAATACTGTATTCAATATTTGTATTGAATATTTTTCAATATTTTGTGCTATTAGAGTATTATTTATACAAAATAGATATTTTGTATAATTTTTGTTTTGTTTTTTTTTTTAAAAAAAAGCAATTAGATTTGAGAAAATTTATTAAATTTTTTTAATAATCTACTTCATTAGGATCTATAATATCCGTGACAATATCTTCTTGATCGTCGTCATCTTCCTCGATCAATTTTTGATTAATCGCTGAACCTTTTGTTGATGATTTTTTCGTTGATCTATTCTTCGTTTTTAATTTTTTCTTTTTTGATTCTTTTACAGATACATCATCATCATCATCAGCACCATTTTCTACACTATCTCCTTTTATTCGTAATTCAAAATCACTTTCATCTTCGCTATTCATCGCATCATCATCATCATTATCATCATCATCATCATCATTGGATGATTTCCTTTTGGATTTTGTTAAATTGAGAAAATCGTATTTACCCAATTCATCATTTTTCGTTATTTCTTTCATCTTTTGATTTTGATGAATCTTAATCCAAGAATCATAAAATTTGGCCAAATTTGTACCCTCCACTTTAATACCATTTTCCCAATTTTTAATCTCACCGATGTCTTGTAAATTAAATACTTTCTTTGATCTTTCATTTGTTATGTATTTCGAATTTTCTTCTATTTTTTCCAATAATTGTTTCATTTTTCTACAATAATTTGCTATGTGACATTTCTTTAAAAATGCTTTCAACTGTAATTCAAATATTTTCAAAATTAAAATAACATTATGGTGTATTAAAAATTAAACAAGAAATATAAAAGATATATTAATACTTACTTCTATTATACATGGTAGATATAATTCTGGAAATGATATCAAATGACTATCTTTAGCTGCATTTTCTAATATTAATCTATAAATATTATCAATTATGGTATCCTTAAAACCATTTTCTACTAATTGAGACTTTGACATTCTCAATATACAAGTAAAAGATATTGGCTTCATTGATACACTTTTATGTTTTTTATTAAAATCATAAGTTGATAAAACCTGAAATCAATATAATATATTTATTATATATATATAAATTACGTGTCATGTTGTTTGTCCGCAATAGACTTCTAAACTACTAAACCGATTTTAATCAAATTTTGTACACTGTATGCAGTTTCATCCAATTTGAAAGATAGGATAGTTTATCTTATCTTAATATATAAAAATTACGTGTCACGTTGTTTGTCCGCAATAGACTTCTAAACTACTGAACCGATTTTAATAAAATTTTGTACACTGTGTGCAGTTTCATCCAACTTGAAAGATAGCATAGTTTATCTTATCTTAATACATATAAATTACGTGTCACGTTGTTTGTCTGCAATGAACTCCTAAACTACTGAACCGATTTTAATCAAATTTTGTACACTGAATGCAGTTTCATCCAACTTGAAAGATAGGATAGTTTATATCTCAATTTATAATCGAATTATTTGTTTATTAACAAAGAAGAGTCATGATTATCTCTGTTAGTTCGATGAGATTCTAACAGATGGTGGTATAAGATAATTCGTTGACTTAAAGACGTGTCTATCGAACTGATTGTGAGCCAGAGCAACGCGTGGCAGGACACCCCTAGTTTATTATAAATAATTCTAAATACATGTATGAATTAATGAATTAATACTATACCTCTAATAAAAATGGTAAAATAGGTATAAATGTATTAGTTCCTTTAGAAATGTTAATTAACATTTGCACACAATGAAAACGTAATGGATAATATTGTTGTGTTGGTATTACTTTAATTGTTCCAATAATAATCTGCAAATATATATGTAATATAAATTTGGAATCAATTAACCATAAATATTGTTTACGTATAATTAACACAATCATACATACCTGTACTAAAGGATACAATAAAGTAGAAAGGCTTGATTGTTTTTTTGACGTTGCTATTAATTTAGCCCAGAAGAATAATGAATTTATATATTGCCAATTATAAACTGCTTGAAAATGTTCCTACGAAATAATAAATGATAATACTATTATATTAATTCCATTAATTTAGAATAATGACAAATTATAAAACAAATTACCTGTTTCTTCAAAGTTATTGCATTTCTTAAATAAATAGCAAGCTGTCTGATATATACGAATGCATATTTGTATGCAAAATCTGGATTCAGTAAATATATCTCCGTTAATGAATGTCTCATAAAATTAATTCCAGCCAACGTGTTGGGTGATACGAATTTGGAATTTTGTACGTATTTAAAATACATAGTCTAAAGAAAAAAAGAAAACAATGAATATAATTTTGAAAGAGTATTTTCTTTTTTTTTTTTTTAGAGGAAACAGATAAATCTGAACTTTACCTTGTGCAGTGTTTCCAATATAGAATCTTTTTGATTCAATGCCATACGTAATATGCATAGAAATGCAACAACTCTGATAGATTCATCACTGGTTGACCAAAAATTTAATAATACTCTTAATAATGGTTTTTTCAATGAAGAAAATGATTGAGTGTACGGCAACATATTATATAAATGTTTTAAAATGATTATTTGTATATTAGCCGATGTAACATTTCGTAAGATCTAAAAAATAATATAATATTTTAATTTTTCAAAATATTATTATATATATATATATATATATATTATAAAAATAATTTGTATGTGATGAACATTTAATTGATACAAACCATGATTAAATCGGTTAAATACGATTTTAAAGAGCTTTTTATTTTGACGAATTTTTTACATTTGTGTGCCTCAAAATATGTATCGGTGTTCAAATTTAAAAAACGTTTTAGCGCATCGGATAAATGTAAAATGCATAATTGAATGACTTCATTAAATACTGAAATTAATTAAATGTTTTTATGATTATAATATTGTTTATTATATTACATTGTAAGTGTATTGATTATAGATATAATAATACTTACTCGCACTTCCTTCTACTTTAAACGATGTATCTTTTTCATCAGGAGTTTCTTGCACAGTTTGTAATGCTGCATGAAAAACTTCAATTGCAATTTTAATAGTCTTCGATGTTCTACAAAGATGATGTTGTAAATGTTAAACTTTATAAAACGTGTTCACATATAATCAATACAATTATTTTCATAATTAAAAATATATATATAAAAAAAAATATTACTTGTCAGTTTGAATATCATTCTGCCATGTTTTTAATAATTGTAGCGTAACTTTTATTTTATTACTGGTTGATACAGTTTGTTCTTCTTGTTCAAAATCACTTTCATCACTGGCTACCTATAAATATTATAATAATTATAATAGAAAGATTAAATATTATAACATATTGATATTTAACCCTTAAAGAGTGCACACTTGTTGAAATTACGTTAAAGTGCATTGTGGGTGTTTGACACCCCAACCTCCTGAAGTTGTTTTTTAATATTAAAACCTCGCAATTTTTTTTTAAAGTAGTTTGATACATCTTTATTAAAATAAAATAGGTTTTATACCCATTTGAATTAACACTAGATGGCATTAGACAAATAATCCATTTTTTCGAATTCAGTACCGTTTTCGAGAGATCACAAATTTGTTGGGATGTCAAACACCAAGTGTGCACTTTAAGGGTTAAAACGTACAGAATATTTTGATTATACCTCTAACTTATCATTAGGTTTATGACATAATTCAGATTCATCATTATCAGAATTGGAATCACTTGACATTTCAAATTTCAATAGATTTTCATCATTCTCTTTTAAATAAGAATAAAATGAGGGATCTATTTTTTTTAAATTCTTTAACGTTCTTTCATATTCTTCTAGATCCATATCACTATCACTTTCATCACTATCATGTTCTACAATTTTTTCTTTAACTGATAAAAAAAGAAAAATGATGCATCATAAATAATCATAGTTTAATACATAATAGTATCTAAATATATGTATATATAAAATTAAATACCTTTCTTTTTGTTATGTCCTTCGCCATTCAATTTAACATCATCGTTTTTGAAAGATTTTGTAGAAGATTTTGTAGAAGATTTTTTAGTAGATTTTTTAATAGATTTATCTTTAATCAAACCAGACATTCTTCTCATTGCAACAGATTCATTAGAATCTTTCTTTAATTTCTTTGATTGATTTTTTTGCATTGTGTTTATAATCACAACTAAATATGCAAACAATAAATTAAATTGATTAAACTCATTGATATATTAACATAACCTAAAAAATTAACTAAATAAATATATATATATATATTTTTGAAAATATAAATTATAATAAAATCAACAATACAGGAAATACATAACCTCATTGATATATTAAAATAACCTAAAAAGTAAACTAAATAAATATATATATGTATTACTTAGTCTTACCTGAAATTTATATTAACAATTTGTATATATTATATATACATATATATTTTTGAAAATATAAATTATATTAAAATCAACAATACAGAAAATCCAATACCACGTGCGGTATTTTGTATTACACTGTTACACTGTAATCGTCTAACCAAAAGGAACATGTGCAGTAGCAGTAGCAGCAAGTTTATGATGCATCTGCTGTTTAGAAGATGGCACCACTTGCATTGAAACTAAACCACCAATGAACTAACAGTACGGATGAAGCAACCAATAGAAACGTGTATTCTTTTAGATACAAAAAAGTAGAAAAGACGAATGAAATTCGTAGATAATAAAAGAACAAATGAAAACTTGCTAAATGATTTCCACCAATCAAATAATTATCTTATCATTAGTTAACTTTTCAAATTATGTTTATGGTTACAATCATTTAATGAATTTCTTATTTTAAGTGTCGTTGAACTATGGCCATGTTTAGAGATAAGAACAAATTCTATTTATAAATAATATTATATCCAAATAATAATTATTCGTAATATTGTGTTTAACAGTAATTACAACATTTTACATTAGAGAAAAATATTATATAAAAATAGTGAATAATTAAATAACTTGGAAGAATACATTTGAATGTTGGTTACATTAAGGATGTATTGTTACAAAATACTGTTTTATTTATTTAGGTATATTCTTCATTTATTTTTATACACATACATTGCACTTTATTTTGTTGTAACAAAAGTATTGATTATTACTAAATTTCAAAATGTATAGTTCGTATTAAAAATTGGTTATATATATATATATGTTCGTATGTATGTATGTATGTATATATGTATATATGTATGTGGATAATGAACGTAAGAAAATGAATATTACATTCGTTCGTTCTATTTCTTCATTTTGTTTTTTTGTTTCTTTTATATTCTTTATATAAGTCATACTTACATATTTTTAAAGTAATTTCATTAAAGGTCGATTTAATAGTGCGTATCTTTCATATTGGATTTTAAATACGATAATTGTTAGAACGGAAGTTGGAGGACATAGAAAAATTACCATTTACTACATAATCATTTCAATAATCATTTAATCAACGCCAAAGTGTATTATTTCCCGTATATAAAAAAAAAAAAAAAAAGAAAAAAAACAAGAAGAAGAAGAAAAACAAAGATATTTAAATATAAGTAAATTTTTAAATATAAATAAAAAAAAAAAACAAAAGAAATATCAATTCGATAAAATCGATTGACATATATATTTTATTATATTTATTAGAGTAGTATCGGGGAAAAATGAATCGACGAGTTTGAATTTATTGAAAATAAAAATTCCTTTGTTTTGGTTTTTTTTTTTTTTAATTAATTTATAATCGATAAACAATTATTATACTCGACGTATTAAAATTATTCACATTATGTAAACGTAATTCCCATTATGTAAATAAAGATTAATGAAGCTATAAAATTTCTCATTTCAAACGCTTATCTCATGTAGAAGATACGCTTATACTTAGCTACGTAAGATACGTTTCAAAGTATCCATAAATAAAAATGAATTTACCAGATAATTTCAATGGCGGGAGGTTATGTTTTTCACTTATTCATTTTCTAAGAAATATATTTATATCATTATACGAATATAACTAATTATAATTATTATATGTTTTAGGTATTTCATATTTCAACGTGTTTATCTTCACACAACAGAAAATCACAACAGACTTTACAAACACCAGAATCTTCGCAATTATATATATATACATATTTATTAATTTATTTCAATAAATTTTCAAATAATATTATAAATATATAACATTGTTAATATTGTTTTTTATTATTATTATTATTATTATTATTATTTTCAGATGGTAACCCATATATCCATAATGTTATATAATTCATAATTGTTGTGCGTATGGTTAGTAAAAATGTTTTATGCTTATCTTGTTTATCACTCAAATTGACTTTACAGTTTATCATATTATTAAGCACCATTATGTTTATTTTCATTTGTCACTCTTTTTTTTCGTTTTCTTTTTCATATTATTTCAAATGTTAAAAAACAACATACAAATATATATATATATATATGCATCTTGTTTCAGGACTGATTAAAACGTTAAATACACTTTTGGATAAAATTCATGAAAATATTGGAAATATACCATTATATATAATATCGTTTATCTATCGTAATATAAATAGTTAACACGCGTTATGAAACCATGCATATTATGTCGACAGCATAAAGTGTCAAGCATATTGCTTGAGCAAATATAACAGTGGTGTACCAGAATATTGATACGTTTACACCTATCTCTCTTTATCTTTTTGTTTTATCTATATATATACATATACATATATATATATATATATTTATATATAAGTTATAAATTAATTATAATATATACGAGTAAACTCAAGTAATATCAAAATTAGTACACACACATTAGAAAAAGAAAATGAATTTGTTTTTTTTTTTGTTATAAATTATTATTTGTATTATACAAAACAAATTATGATTTGTTTGACTTTTCTATATATAAACATTATTTTTAATTGTTTTTTTATTTGGTTTTTTTCTTTTTTTTTTTTGTAAGTATGATAATATTCAATGATAAATTATGAAAAACAGAAAGAAAAAAAAACAAATGAAAATCAAAATTGTACAATTTATAATATCAAGTGAAAATAATTTGAATGCTGGATGAATTGATATATGAATGATAATATATATATATATATGTATGTATAAAGTACCTGCAGCTTATACGGTCATGCATAAAATATAGTGGTGTGTGGCGTATGTATATTCGCTCGTCCTCACACTCGTTCCATGTTATATAAACGATGCGTGCACCCAGTTCTCAACGACTACGTATTCTGTATTCGATAGTGCATTTGGCATAGCTAATATCAGTTTACTCATATAAACTTCATTTCTTACAAGTTTACTTTGATTTAGTTTAAAGTTTAGTTTTTGTTTTGTTTGTTTTTGTTTTTTTCTTGTTTTTTTTTTTTTTTGAGAGAGAGAGAGAAAGAAAGAGATAAACGATCAAAAATAATCAAGTGGTTCGTGTGACGAAAAAAAAAAAAAGAAAAGAAAAGAAAAGAAAAGAAACAAAAAAGAAGGTAATACTATAAATATGAATGAAACTTCTTCCATTGATATAATCGGTCGTCAACTTAAAAATGCCGGCAAGTTTTGGTACATCGTCAACCCTTTCGAAACAACTTTCGAATTTCCACACCAAGTGCCTGATTATTATCAACAGGTAATTTAGATTATTATTATCAACTGTTAATCAATTTGTTGTATCAATTTCTAGTTGTTGTTGTTGTTGTTGTTGTTGTTTTTTTTTTTTTATTGTTTTATTATCGTTATATATCAATTTCAAAATTAAATTCAAACTAATATGTAATCTTATCTACGAGTATTTATATATATATATATATATGTAAATGTACATATATAATTTTGTAAATTTTTCATTCAAACAAGAGAGTAATAAAGTTGAATGTTTAACAAATTGTAATGATAACAAATTTGTTCAATGAATAATTTTGACAAACAAGTCTTCACAAATTAATTGATCGTAAATATTATTGATTTAAATATATCTCGTTTGGAAAAATAATATTATCTTATCTCGATAAAGAGATAAGATAATGTATGAAAAATTATTGTTGTTGTTGTTGTTTTTTATTTTTATTTTTTTTTTTTTAAAACATTATCCATTAATATTAATAAATAATTTTTAAAGATTTGGATACCATTCTTCTTTCTAATCGTCTTAGAACAAATGATATTAACTGCAAAGTATAAGAAAAAATCATTTCAATTGGATGATCAAGTGACGTCATTTTCTCATTGGATATTTCAAGAGTCTGGCCGGTAAGCATAGGTAATGCTTTTATTTTCCATTTTGTTTTTAGATTTAAATTTATTTACCTATGTGGAAATGAAAAATAACAAACAAAAAAAACAAACAAAAAACAAAAACAAAAAGACCAAACATTAAACGAAAACGTATTACATCCAATTCAAAATAACAAAATAGTAATATTATAATAATAATAATAATAATAATAATAATAAAAAAAAACAAGAAGAAACTCCATAGAATTTGTACAATTTTTCAGCATATTTTTTCGCAGTGCAGAATATTACGCTTACATTCAAATTTATGATAATTATCATATATGTAATTTACCATGGAATTCTATTTGGACATGGTACATCACCGCATTGGGGGTTGATTTTTGTTATTATTGGGTACATCGTAGTAATCACGGTTAAGTATCACCATTTTAATTGATTTTTAATTGAAATTATTTATTATTCATTATATAATATATATTATTTAACTTGATTATATATATATATATTACATATGATTTTATAGAAGTACACTTTTTGTGGGCACACCATCAAGTACACCACAGCAGCGAGGAATTTAATCTCGCGGTTAGTCTGCGTCAATCTGTACTACAACATTGGTGTAATTTTGTAAGTAAATAAAAAAAAAAAAAAATAGAACAACAACAAAAATGCACACATATGTAATATATATATATATATATATATATATATATAACAATTATATCTTACAGATCTTCTACTTACCACTTGCTTTCTTCATACCCCCATCACACTTTATTGCACATCATCAATTTAATTTAATATATCAATTTTGGATACACACGACAATTGTTGATCATCTTGGACCATTGGAATTAATATTTAATACACCTAAACATCATCGTGTACATCATGGTAGATATTGTAATATCTTTTTTCTCTTTCTCTCTCTCTCTCTTTATCTTTTTCTGTTTCTTATACCATCGTAAGATTGTCTCTCTCTCTCTCTCTCTCTCTCTCTCTCTCTCTCTCTCTCTCTTTATAAAATTAGTTATAACATTTGTTTTTTTTTTGTTTTTTCGTTATCTATGGTGATTTTGAAATAGATTCAAAAAACTTCACGTATATTTCTCTGAACATGTTTATTATCGACACATTGCAAAAGTGTATTATATGTCAGATTAATTTATATATAACTATCTTGTCATACAGGATGCAATCTATACTGTTTGGATAAAAATTATGGTGGAGTTCTTATTATCTGGGACAGATTATTCGGGACCTTCATGGAAGAGAAGGATGAAATTATTTACGGTTTAGTAAAAAGTCCACGTTCATTTAATCCTATTTATTTACAGGTATTAATTATTATCATATATTAATGTAATAATGTTAAATGTTAATGTGTAATCATTCTTTCTCTTTCTCTCTCTCTCTCTCTGTCTCTCTCTTTCTTTCTTTTATTATTACTATTGTTGTTGGTGTTGTTGTTATTGACTGTTTTTCTTTAACAATATAAGTATGGGTCCTCATATATAATCACAGAATATAACGGACAATTATACTGTTATATAAAATTGCAATATGTATTATTATGCAGATTAGTAGTCGATTAACAAGATTGTTAAATGCAATATTATAATGTAACATTTATTCAATGTGTAACTTACGGAAAAATAAGATGAAAAAAAAAAGAAATAAACATAAAGAAACATAAAGTACAATGATACAATATAATACGGTTTGTTTCACATTTGAAAGTAATCAATAATATCACATTCTCGTTTATTTTATATAATAATAGGAGGAGAGGGGTGGGGTGGGAGGAGGAAGAGGAGGAGGAGGAGGAGAAGGGAAGAATCGTATCGTGAAGCTTAATTTTCATTTTTCTTTTTTTCTTTTTTCTTCTCTTCTCTTTTAATTATCATTCGAATAAGTATGTACATGTTATTATACGATTTTTGCATAGCAATTAATTCAATTACACAATTTCAGTTATTTAATGCTTCTCTTGTTGTAAGTGCGCACGAATAGAAATGATGATGCTTTTTTTTCATTTTTTATTTATTATCAAATTTGCATATTGTTATAGACGTTTTATACGAAAGATATGATAAATAAGAGTAAACAGATGAAATCTATGGAAGATAAGTTATCTGTTTTATGGAAGGGTCCCAGTTGGTATCCAGGTGGGCCACGTTTAGGTCTTGATAAATATAAAATAAACGTAAGTTATTTGTTAAATAATAGAAACAACAAAATATATAATTTTTTATTAAATAATGTGAACAATGAATTATGATATAAAAAAAAAAAAAAAATGGTTATTTGTTATATCATTTTGTTGTTGTTGTTGTTTTTCTTTTTAGGTAACATCTAGAATCAAATATAACGTTCTTATACCAACCTGGCAAAGTTTTTATATTATTGTGCATTTTTTAATAGTATTTT